GTACCCTATTATTCAGTGCAGTTTTCAAAGCTTAAATGGGTATATTTTATCTCCCAGGCAAGCTGCTTCCGAGCTTGTTAATTAAATTAAATCCCCTCTTCAAAACCTTTGAGGAAACACCACATCAGTGGTAATTTGAGTGCAGAATATTGGATGTGCCGAGCATTCCCCCATCAATATCCATGATTTTCTCTTACCAGCCTTGGGCTTTGTACAGCAGCAAACTCAGCAAAATCCGTGATTTCAAATGGCGCAGCACCTACATGTAGTGCAACATTTTGGGCTTCCAATTTGCTGTGATATATTGGCTCAGGGGAGTTGAACATTTATGTCTTTTATGCACATGCTCTTTCAGTGGGAGCTTAAAACTTAATTTATTGTCCTAAATGTGAGTCTTCACTGTCCGAATTAATAATGAGTCAACCACAATTTCTTATTATATTAAAATTTATTCAAGTCTATTTAGTGTTTGCCTTTCATGTGACATATTTTCCACAGATATACATTTAATCTGCAATATAATACACTGGAAACATTGTAATCTTTGATTCATTATTTGGGATAGTAAATACCCTTAACTTGAATTTGTTAAAATTGTTGACTATTTTTAGTGACTGTTGTATCGAATTCTGGCAATATGATGCAATTGCTTTTCTTTCTCTACAGGGCAGAACCGAACCACTAAATCTCCACATCGTGTCCCAATCATCTTCATTAATCTCCATCCCCAAGTCTCTTTTTCGGGAGATTTTAATCCTATCTGTATATCACACAGATCAATAAACATTTTATATTTCTCAGTGAGAATCTTTGTCTTGTATTTATTGGTTATTTTGCTTGCATTTAGATCTTGGTCCCATTCCAATTCTATTATTCTAGGTCCACTCTCTGGGATTTCAATCTGCATAAGAAATATGAGCAAATTCTGACAAGTTTATGTTAAGACCCTTTAGATTGTGTTCTGGCAAATTCATTCCCTTATAGCCTATTAAGGAATGCTGCAGTTTCCATAACTCTTTACACTAGTCTCTAGTGTGAATTGTGACAAGTGATGCTGGCTGTAAATGCACAAAATAAAGTCCTGATTTATTCATTATTATAATAATAATAATAATAAAGCAGTTTTGCAAATACGAAGGCTAATTTTTGGGGAAAATCAGCAACACAGCCAACATCTGAAGGAAGGTCATGTTGTGTGGACACCGACAGCTAAGATAGAAGTAACAACTTAGCAAACTTTACTCAAACAGCACAGAACAAACTTGAAAAGGGTTGAAAAGCAAAATGGAATTTGGTGCCCACGTTTGAAGGACACACTACCACCTTGTGATGATCTGAAGCTGTTTGTTTCAGATTATCAAAGCTTCTGAGTTGGAGAAGGGAACTTATCAATTATCTTTGTATCAATTATTTCTTGCTGTTTTTTGTGGATCAGAAGGCAAAGTTCTACCATTTTGCAGTCAACATTGGTCAAATGTGTTCTCTCCCTACCTTGCTGCCACCTTTAAAATTTGCTTTGAGTGCCAAAGATTCTTGCCAGGGACAGACTTCCTAGGTTTTAGTTTTGTAGTTATTCCTGATCATATAATTTCTCAAAGTATGAAGCTGTTGAATACTCAGCACACAGTTTTGTTGTGACCGCTTCATTTGTTAGAAGACTGTCTGGTTACAAGACTGCTATTTTCCATGAGCAAAGACCTCATAGTTCAACTCTGAAGCACAAAAATTAAATTGAGCGGTATCTGGAATTGATTTCTCTTTTTATGATCTATTAGTTGAATCTCAGCTCTTTTCGATGGGAAGAAGACATCAAGAGTGTTTGAACCCCACATTATCTCACTTAGTGTCAGATTAACCCTGTCACTATTTAAGTGACAAAAATGTCTATAATATAGACTTTATAATATAGGATGATGTAGAGTCTATATGACATAGATTCTATATCATCCTTGCCATGTAATTTATCGCCAGTGTTCCAGACAGCTAGAGTCTGACTATAGTATATGCTGACCCAACCCAAGAAATGGATACACCACACATTCTTTTCTTATTTGAGATGTGTATCTTTAAGCTTATGTGCTAAACTGGAAAGCCTATGTTTATTTACATTTAATCTCTACATATATATGTGTATATATATTATAAATACATGAAATTGGGTTTTATGTGATGCACGTTTCTATGCAGTGAACATTCTGTGTACAGTTAGAAGAAAAAATTATAATTACATTGTGTAACACCCTGACAGATAGCTACAGAATTATTATTCTCTCTGCTGGGGTAATCACAGTGATCATGATGGGTTATTGAACGAAAGGATCATACCATACAGCCATACAGACCAGAAGCTCTAGGATTCAAATCCTGACACAGCTAATCTCAATTGACTTCATTGCCCCTGGGTTAGGGTTCCCCTCTCTGGATGATCCAGTGATCCCTTTTGGAAATTGCACATGTGAGGATGTTCGGGTTTGGCTGTGATGCCCCCAGTGATCAAATAGCCTGCGATCAAATAGCCTGCCAAAACTCGCTCTTCAGGCTCGCATGTGAAAAATGGCCTCTTGGGTAGAAAATTGACACCAGAAAAAGTCTACTTGTGCCAGTCAGGTACACCCACCTACACGTGCTAATTTCCAGTTTGTTACAACTGATTTTAAACAAAACATACAGTCAATTCACTTTACAGTATAGTATAGCGCTTTGAGACAACTTGAAGACACGATAAGGTACGATATCAAATGCAAGGCTCATTATTATTAACTTTAAAATTGATCGCTGAATGTTTTACAGTTGTACAAAATTAAACAAAGCTTTTTGAATAAACACAACTTTGCAGACCTTGTTAACTCTGCTCCAAAATAATTTCAAAGGATGAATAAAGACTGCAATGATGATTAGTTGTGTTGAATTAAATAGACCAGGTCTGTGCACCTTTATGGAGTGAATCGTTACACCTGCAATTGGTTAATTTGAGTGAATAAAAGAAACGATAAAACTAATGCATAATTGCTGCAATAGATTAAAAATAGCTCTTGTTTCACCTTGATAATGATCTTGTGGAAAAGGTCAATTGTGCCAACCAGCTGCATTAGTCAGGGCAGCATAAATACCTTTACAAACTTATTTTTTTTAGTAAAAAGTGGACAGCCTGGCGCCTAAATTAGGATTTACACTGCCCAGTAAGGATAACTAACCATAGTGATAGGACAATTTTTCACAATTAGGATAACTTTATGCCTACATTTCACAATCACAAAGCTAGATATGTACTTCAAAGTTATAGTTTGATCGAGTTTAATTGCACTGGATTACAGGAAATTTCACATTCATCTCTAGTTGGATTTGATGGCAGATATTTTTTCTTATTTTAATTTGAGGTAATTAGTGTACAGGACAGTTATTTCTTTGTGTTCAGACCTTGCCTGCTCCCCATTAAAGATTAATGTACAATCTTGCTAATTCTCAACAGGGTATGAAAATTTCAACAACAAAAAAAAATCTGATAGTTTCTTTTGTGTTAACAGGAGCCAAGAAACTGAGTCTACAGTGCCGTAAGTATACCCAGTAGTCTGTGTAACTGAGTCAAACATATTGTTTTAGTTAAGTGTAACAAATCAATGTGCATAAAATAACTATAATATAAATTACACAATATATTAATTTCAAATTTATTAAATATAAAGTTATTTTCCTTTATCCTGTTTGACACACAGGTCCTTTCCTTCTACGAATTATGATGACATGTACTGTGACGAGGATGATTGGTCAGTATAAATCAGTAAAAAAGGGGCAAGAGTCAGTCTGGTACATTTAATCTGCTTGGAATACACTGAATAATCAAAATTGCCAGAATTGCTGCATTAATTGTGACTATGTTTCCGAATTTTAGAATCTGGTTGATTTGTGAGATTTGCCAAATGGCTAAATGTTGCCAAAGCCTGGCAAATAAAATGTACTAAGGACTGGTATGACTCCACCTGTACGCAAGTAATGATGCGTCAAGCTCTTTTAACTTTAATCATTGCCCATATTATGTATTATTTTAACTAAATGTCTCATACCCTTCCTTCGAGCAACGATGTCAGGTGCTAAACAGAACTCAGTTAGCACAAGCATCCAGCACTCATAACTCTTTAAGAATCTTCAGATGGTTTAATAACTTCCGGACACAAAGGCTAAAGTTCCCATTCGTTACTTTCAGAGCGAATGTCTTGGCACCAATGTAACTCGGATTTCGGAGTCTGTATTTACCAGAGAGCGGTGGTTTTGTTTCTGTAGTGACCATTTCTGTTTAGTCTCAGTAACTATTGGTGTCATCAGTCTTCTGTAGAATGGTGTCAACATCATCACGTCATCAGTTGCCAGGCTTTACCCATTCTTCTTCTTAAGGATCATACATCAGGATACCAGGTGTATGCTCTTTCATGATGCTTCAATAGCTCAGATAAGCTTACAAATACAGTGGAAATTCAGTTACACAGTTAAACGTCTTGACAAATTAAAAATGCTATATTTCCATTGTTGGCGTTTTGTGGCTACTTCTGTTTTCTGGCCTCTTCCTAGGAGTGGCGTGGAGGGAACGGATGAAAGGTAAGCTATACAGATCACTTAATAGAAGTATCTAAGGTGTGGAGAATATTGTGCTTAATGATAGCATTGTCAAGGCACTCCGGGAGACTACCTCGCGTAAAGGACGCTATATAAACAGACGTCCTTCTGACGTGTTAAGGCGCTAAGTCGAATCCAAGAATTATTATTAGAGGAAAATTGCAGAGATATTTATTGAAATGGAATGTTCGCTCACTCCCTGGTTACCTGATTCCGGGCAGTATTAGGTAAGGTTTGAGGACCCCAAAGTGTGCATCGGGGTAACTGCTGGAATCTAACCAGTTAAAAGCACACAGCTTCACATGCCCCATTATGACGGTCTTTAGTAGATGTGAAAGTAGCAGGGTTTCTAATAACATATATATTTTTCCAGATCAGATAGCGTGCCATCTCGACCCCCACCTCCAGCTACGAGGTAAGTGAACCACAGACTTCCTTCCCTTCCTGTGCAAGAGCGACTTACGTTCATTCTCACGTAAAATAATTCAGGTTGAGCTGGAGCTTAGGGAGGGAGAAGCAGCAGCAGCAGCAACAACAACAATTGATAGTTATGTAGCGCCTTTCACGTTCAGGAGGATGCCTGAGAGCATGGGGGAGAGGGTTTCTGATGATATATTTGTCTCTCTTCTTTCAGACCAAGGAGTAGATCACCTCCACCTCGACCTCCATCTCCGGTTGAGAGGTACGTAAAACCATAGATTACGGTTTAAGCTTCCCTGATAGCTAACTGCAAGGTTTAACTTCTTTAAAATCATAACCGAAGGATAAATGAAAAAGTCCCTTTGCCGTTGGCGGCGTTGGGCGCACACATCCCGTGCAATTGCACGGGGCCCCCCTTCCCTCGTGACTCAGTTACTTGTTGGCTCACACGCTCTGCTGCTAAAAACCCATTGAAATTGGCTCCCCGCCCACCTAACCTTTTTGATCATGCTTATGGGTCACCTCCCCCCTCCCTCGATCCCCTTAGCTCGTTGTCAGAATCCGCCACTGTGAAGCGCTCCGGGACGCTAGGCTGAAGGGTGCTGTATAAACGCAAGCTGTTGTTGTTGGCGCTTGGCGTGATGGACACCTCGTTGCAGCCAATCCACCGCCGATGTGGGTCTAAACCAGCCGCCCTCCAGCCAATATAACTGAGCCGAGCTGACTCCATTATATGCAATGGAGAAGGGCTTCTGGCTGTGTCTCTCTCTCTCTGCTTCCCACCCTACCTCTCACTTTGGTACTGGTGCTGAAATGCCAGTGTGTACACGTCTAAAGTTGCCTGCAAAGTTACCGGTATTGTAATGCAGCTGTGCTCAGAGCGGCCCTAACCGTCTCACACCCAACAACATTTTTGTCCCAGCGTCTTGCATCCCCGCGTCTACATTCCACTCTGGAGACCGTGCGGAAAACAACAACAACTTGCGTTTATATAGTGCCCTCATACAGGGGAGCCATCCAGAGCGCTTGACAGTGGTAGAGTCTGACACCGAGCTGAGGGGAGAGGGCGGGAAGGCAAACAGACATGTGGATAACTGGCAGGCAGTTATTTACCGTAATTGAGGATATAGCTGAGGGTACAGCTTTGAGGCCCGCAGAAATGGGGGCATATTATTTTATTATGATTTATTTTTTCAGACCACAATCCTCAAGATCACCAGCATCCGCACGAAGAACGTAAGCAAGCTACGGATATCATTTATTTATTGCAGTAAACTTCAGAGACGAGTTTTCATTGAAGAAGATGAGCCAACAGTGCAGATAACATTGCACAAAGTGCAGTTTAACTGCAGCGCTTTTCCAGGTGTAATAATTCCTTCAGAAAAATAAATGAATGAATAAATAATAATCATTTGGTGACTCAATCCACAACTGTTTGTGGGACACTGTGTGCGCAATTGACTGCTACGTTTCGCCCACAAAATACACAGTCCATTCACTTTACAGCACATTCTGTGAAGGGTTTTGAGACGTAACAAAGATGTGAAAAGGCGCTATATCAAATGCAAGGATTATTATGAGATTATTATTGTATAACTACGGATTATTGGTGTGCAAATAAATGCTGCTCTACTGTAATTGAGGATGTAGCTTGGGGTATAACTTTGAGGCAGCAGAAGTGGGGAAGAACAGTTTTATTGTGGTTTTCTTTTTATAGACGAGAGGGCTCACCAAAATCCCGACGTCCAATCTCACTTGCACCAGAGATGTAAGCGAAACACAGACCCAATTTACTTACAACAATAAACTTCGAAGGCGAGCTTTCATTAATTGGGAAGAAATCATTGATCTGGGCTGGTGATTTTTTTGTGTGAAAACACAGCAAGTGACATCACGTCGTCGTTGATGAAGTCGGCCGTTTTTAGACACTGAAAGCTGTCTGCCTTTCTGAATATTATGATTATTATATCAAATTCAAGGAATCTTATATTACATACCGTTATATCATAATCACAGCAGTAGGTTTCGCCCTCAAAATACAGTCAATCCACTTTACAGCATATCTTTTGAAGCATTTTGGGTTGTCTCAACAATGTGAAAAGGCTCTATATCAAATGCAAAAAATATTATTATTCCAGTACAAACCACTGCAGTACAAATCTGCTATTCTCATTTTAGACACGCATTTTACAAGCCCAGCATTCCAGATTTTGCGCTTTTAACAAGAGAGCATCTTCATTCGAATTATTGTGCAAGTAAACTGTATTGTTCTAATTTTAACATGAGCTTGTTGTTCTCTAACCCAATTTAAGGATTTATCAAATCCTGCTCGTGTACGCCATATCTTCATATGACAATAGTGCCAGTAATGTTCCTGATAATGTTTCTTTGCTTTTTGTGTTCCTAGGGTCTCGTGTCCAAGTCGGTAAGTAGAGCACACACGCAAACTATTCAATTCCTCAAGTAATTTCTGAAACTCTCTCCTTTCAATTAGAAGGAATCACTGTGGTATTTTTTTTTCTAAATTTCTTCCCTATTCTTCTGAAAGTGCTACAGTTCCGTGCTTGCTGTTACCTAGCCCAAGTGGCCATTGTTCAGTATTGGTGGGCTATCTCCTTGGCTACCGTTTCTCCTTTAGAGCTTGGCATATTTAGGGCAGCATGCATGGTGCCATTTCAATGGGTATCAAAAGGAGCAGCAGCAGTAATAGACAGATTCTATTGCCAACCGGGAAGAATCTATGCTTAGAAAGATGTCACATGGCCAAATGGTAATGCAGGATGAGTATCTAATAAAATCAAGCTTCTTATATATTAGCTTTTCAGATGTGACTGAAGAAAAATGTGGATACAGTTAAGATTGCCAAAGTAAGCGATAACTAAATTTGTGACAAGTGAAAGCAGGCAGTGCTGTAAGTACTGGGCTGCCAGTGGAGGTCAGGATGACTGTGACATCAGTTTTCTTTATGCTTTTGACTTTTGACTTATTCCAAAATGAGGACATTTGGAGGGTCGATCAAGATGCTGCGTACAGATACATTATAGCAGCTATTGTGGTGTAATACACTATTCGTCTTCATTCTTTGCATCCTTCACATATTATTATATGATTGAATTACACACAGTAACCAACATATCGTAGAAACAAGTGAGTACAATGTAGATGTAGATGTATGATGTAGAGACATCCTCTTCCATAATAAAGATGAGGGAAACCCTTGGGGTTAATGAAAGCTCCTTTTGCTAATGAATTTAGGGATTTGCGTTAATGGGAAATATAATGGAATGTCAGTAGGAAGCTCATTATCCAAAATGTTGGCGCTTCTAATTTCTGCAGCTGGGAGGAAGGAGAAATGTTTGTTGAATTGCTGGATGAGGCAAAGAATGGAATAATATTCTATAGAGAGACGTAGGTAGGTAAAGCGATTCTGGTGACTGGATTTTCCACTTACTTGATAAGTTTGCAGCAATATGTGGAGGGTGTCTGAATTGAAGAAGGAAGCAAAGAAATGGTTCTTGCCTTGTAGGATTACCTTCATCCTTTGCCTGAAAGTACATGCCATGCTTCCGCCACGACCGAGTACTCGTGTACTTAGAAAACCTTAAGTCAAAATGGTCAAACGATTTGCAGGCTGGTTGCTGTTGATACACAGGTTTATAGCACATAGTTGGAGCAGAGAAGATCACAGAGGCCACAATACCAATCGCGTGACATCACAATGTCCCAAAAGGGACATCATCCTTATGATAAATCATAATCATGTGCGTTACCTGTGCCAGAACACTTGGCATAAACATAAATCGCAGAACTTGTTGAGCAAACAGCACTGCAGCAAGTACACGTTTAACTGAAACTTGTTATCCTGAGATGTAACAAGTAATTTTAACACAGTCACAAAACAGTTACTCGTGATACAGTATTTGTTTTGAATAAAATATAATAAAATAAAATACACAGCTCAGGTGAAAATCCTTCACTGTCCAGCGCCTTGGGGTGTCCTCCTAATGTGGAAGGCAAAACAAATGTAATTAAGTGGTGTTGCTTTTGAATAATTGATCTGGAAAGGATCCTTGCAATGACCTTGGAAAGCTTGAGTTTAGACATCTGAACTTGTCCTTGATGCGCTGTGGTAAATGCCATGATTCCTTTTCTATTTTAGACCAAAATCAGAGAGCCGAGGAAGAAAACTGTAAGTACAACACATTTAACCAACTGAATTGCTATGTGAGAAAAGTGAGAAACTTTAAAAAGTAATCCAGCCCACCAAGTAGATGAGGGATATCAGAATGGTTTTGTGAAGGGTACGCCACTCAACTTCGTTCCTATCTTTCCATCCATTCCTTGCTCGAGCCCCTTCCCACCAACAATAGTGAGAAAGCCCCCGTCAAAGATCCAATCACAAATCCTGCACCAGGGTGTTCTCTGCCTCCTTGTCCTCTACAACCGCTTTGCTTTTTTTTATGATGGACTATTCCATCTTTCTGGACCACAGCTCTTCCCTCATCCACCTCCATGGGATTGCACCCATGGAGGTGGATGAGGGAAGACGTGGCGAGTTGAGGATTCGTGTTTTCATAGAGGATTGAAGTTCAGCACAATGTTCTCGCCATCACTCACAGCGCTCCAATGAAAACTCAGCTCATAGCAAAGTAAATGCTAGTTTTAGATTTTTTTAGAAATTGTGCAGTTACAGCACGAGATACTGAATTCTCAATTGCATTTGTTTGTCGTCACAGAACATAAATCGCAGAACTTGTTGAGCAAACAGCACTGCAGCAAGTACACGTTTAACTGAAACTTGTTATCCTGAGATGTAACAAGTAATTTTAACACAGTCACAAAACAGTTACTCGTGATACAGTATTTGTTTTGAATAAAATATAATAAAATAAAATACCCAGCTCAGGTGAAAATCCTTCACTGTCCAGCGCCTTGGGGTGTCCTCCTAATGTGGAAGGCAAAACAAATGTAATTAAGTGGTGTTGCTTTTGAATAATTGATCTGGAAAGGATCCTTGCAATGACCTTGGAAAGCTTGAGTTTAGACACCTGCACTTGTCCTTGATGCACTGTGGTAAATGCCATGATTCCTTTTCTATTTCAGACCACAATCAGAGAGCCCAATAAGAGAACTGTAAGTACAACACATTTAACCAACTGAATTGCTATGTGAGAAAAGTGAGAAACTTTAAAAAGTAATCCAGCCCACCAAGTAGATGAGGGATATCAGAATGGTTTTGTGAAGGGTACGCCACTCAACTTCGTTCCTATCTTTCCATCCACTCCTTGCTCGAGCCCCTTCCCACCAACAATAGTGAGAAAGCCCCCGTCAAAGATCCAATCACAAATCCTGCACCAGGGTGTTCTCTGCCTCCTTGTCCTCTACAACCGCTTTGCTTTTTTTTATGATGGACTATTCCATCTTTCTGGACCACAGCTCTTCCCTCATCCACCTCCATGGGATTGCACCCATGGAGGTGGATGAGGGAAGACGTGGCGAGTTGAGGATTCGTGTTTTCATAGAGGATTGAAGTTCAGCACAATGTTCTCGCCATCACTCACAGCGCTCCAATGAAAACTCAGCTCATAGCAAAGTAAATGCTAGTTTTAGATTTTTTTAGAAATTGTGCAGTTACAGCACGAGATACTGAATTCTCAATTGCATTTGTTTGTCGTCACAGAACATAAATCGCAGAACTTGTTGAGCAAACAGCACTGCAGCAAGTACACGTTTAACTGAAACTTGTTATCCTGAGATGTAACAAGTAATTTTAACACAGTCACAAAACAGTTACTCGTGATACAGTATTTGTTTTGAATAAAATATAATAAAATAAAATACCCAGCTCAGGTGAAAATCCTTCACTGTCCAGCGCTTTGGGGTGTCCTCCTGATGTGGAAGGCAAAACAAATGTAATTAAGTGGTGTTGCTTTTGAATAATGGATCTGGAAAGGATCCTTGCAATGACCTTGGAAAGCTTGAGTTTAGACACCTGCACTTGTCCTTGATGCGCTGTGGTAAATGCCATGATTCCTTTTCTATTTCAGACCACAATCAGAGAGCCCAATAAGAGAACTGTAAGTACAACACATTTAACCAACTGAATTGCTATGTGAGAAAAGTGAGAAACTTTAAAAAGTAATCCAGCCCACCAAGTAGATGAGGGATATCAGAATGGTTTTGTGAAGGGTACGCCACTCAACTATTCCTATCTTTCCATCCACTCCTTGCTCGAGCCCCTTCCCACCA